AAACTTAGCAATGAAGAAAGAATTACTTATGATAATAGCTCGGGCATTTAGCAATGATATCTTGAATTCATACGAAACTATGTTTTTCATTTATTATAATATATTTAAAATAGAATAAATACAAGTTGCCCATGCTGATTCAAAGGGAGTGGAGAAAAAATAAGGGGCAGATTTACTTGGCCTGGCTTGTTCCAACAATTGTGTCTTGTTGCATCTGAGTAGAACCAACTTGACAAAATGGAATGGTTTATGTGATCGTGGTGAGTATGTGTCTGTGGAAAATGTGTGTGTGGGGGTGGGGAGGTGGAGGAGAGAAGGTGGAAGAGAAGCTGAAGGAGGAAGAGGAAGAGTGGGAAAAGAGAAAAGGAAAAAGAGGGAGGGGTGCATACATACCCACCCCCACACACCTATGTAATTAATGGAATGTGAGAAGCTATGATGGTGGTACAGATCTGAGGATTATGAACACAAATTCAAACACTTTTGCTCATCTGTAGTTTTAGCAAATCCAGCAACTTTGATATTCTTTTTAGTATATTTGTCTTCCTACTGGCTCATCCAATACTGGGACTAGACTCCACTAGATGATTTTTAGCATTTCTTCAATACTAAAGGTATAAAATTATTTTCTCAATAAATATTTGGAAAGCAGATGAAAATCTAGATAATTTTGTCAATGTAAATATTTCCTAACTATAGTTTAATCTCAAATAAGCATGAAATTTGTAACATATAGAAATAAAGCTACAAAAATATAACCCAAGACAAAGTTAGACTTGATAGAAAAAAAGTATAAGTTATTAGAGTATACTATTAATACATCCTAGAGTTCTTAAGTTTATAATGCATTGTTAAATAAATATAAAAAGAATGAAATCCATGACCGACAAAGTTCACTGGGATGCATGCATTCTTGGATCATCTGTTTAAATTGGTATTAGAAATGTTAATCACAAATTAAGTCTAATTTTTAAATTATATTGTTGTACTTGTTTAAAAGTATTTGACATCAAAGGGCTAAAAGTCAAAAAACTACATCTTTTAGAAAGTAAATTGTAAATGGTATAACTATCATACCAATTAAGAACATTTTTGGATTTTTAATAACCAGTGGTATATGAATGAGAAATAAGGGAAAATAGGGCATTAAATTAAAATTCTATGTAACTTAAAAAATCCTCAACACAAAATTACACTTATAAATTGAATGGAATGCAAAAGGAATGTGTTCTTCCTTAATTGAGTTAAATACTTCATTGAATAATGTAATCTACGTTTGTAGATGCTATGTCCCATCTGACACAATTAGATAATTATTTACTTATGGCCATGGTACCAATATTTTCTGGTTATTTTAAAAGGAAGTAAATGTGATATTTTGGTTACATCACCAGAATATGTTTGAATATTTTATTTCTGTGACAATATTTAAATCTAGAAACAAATTTAACATGCAGCTAAAGAAGTTTAAGCTATACACCTCTTCCAAAGTCTTGTGAGGGATCTGATTAAGGTATTACATGGCATTTCATATTCCTTTCCAAAACAGTCCCCTCCCCAAATTGTGGAAGCTTCAGGTCTCATAAAGCTTAGATTTGTTTCACTTAGAAAATAAGTTTCTTGCTTCCTGTTTACTAGTCTACTAGCAAAACTTACTGGACTTGGAGTCAGAAGATTTAAATTTAAGCCACAAATGTACTCCCAACTAGCTACCAGCCACTAATATTTCTGTCATTTCTATTCATATAACATGGGAATGATATCTTTCCCATGTAGTTGGGTTAATCTAGAGCTAAAATGAGAAAAATATGAAGGTCATTTCTTCGAAAATTTATAAGTACTATGCAAAGATTGGATATTATTTCTGATATCAGATTTTACTTGTATATTTTTAAAGTCTAGATTCCTTAGGTACTCTATATTACTGTGTATATGTCTAGCCATAATGCCTGTAACTTGTCTGTAGCTTTTTTCAGATTGTATGCAGCAACGTAAGTTATCATTTATTCAGTATCTACCATGTGCCAGGCACCATGCTCAATATTTTATAGGGATATTTAATT